ATTGCTTGGACTTGTTCATGAGTAGGCCCACTTGGAGGAGGGGTTTCGTCAATCACATGAATCCCTCTAGGATTCTCAAATGGTTGAGCGGGAAGCTTCCCTTTATCTCTTTGAAGGATTTGGTTCATTGAAGTGGCTATTTGCCCCACTTGATTCTCAAGTTTAGCAATAGACTGAGTATGGGAATGAACCATTTGGAGAGTGGGCTACAAAGATGACAAGAGTTGCTTATTGGATTCCATCATTTGCTTATTTAGAGATTCCATCATTTGCTTGCTTGCAGCCAAAATCTCATCAGTTGGGAACATAGGAGGTTGATTAGAGACATTGGATTATACGGAGGACGGTAGCTTGATGAGGCCTAAAATGGCCTATTTTGAAATTGAGAAGAGGGCTGATTTTGATGCCCTTGATTTTGAAATTGTGAATTTTGTGGGGCTTGTTGCCTCCACGAGAAATTCGGATGATCTCTCCATCTCGGATTGTAAGTATTGGAATATGGATTATTTTCGGGTTTTGAGAACATGTCATTGGCTTGCTCTTGATTGGGATTAGAAAATTGCTCCGGTGTGGGGCAATCTTTCGAGAGATGGAAATGACTAGTCCATGATGTACACACCGTACTAGCTAAATTTTGAGACAAGGAAGGAGATAGATGTGGTGCTATCAATTGATAGAATTTATGATCTATGGCATCCACTTGAGATGATTCTTCCATCATTGTCTTCTGTTAATAAGGGTTGGTGTTCTTTGCATTGGTTGAGGCTGGAGCCCTATGAGAATTGTGTTGCAATGAATTCTCACTCAGATTCTCTAGTAAGGTCCACGCCTCATCCGCACTTTTAGACATGAACATCCCTCCACATGAGGAGTCAACCATAAATCTATGGGTGTCGGTCAAACCAGCATAGAAAGCTTGCACCAATTGCCATTTTGGAATTAAGTGGTGTGGACATTTCCTAAGGAGGTCTTGTAGTCTTTCCCAAGTTTACTGGAGTTGTTCCCCATCGCTTTGTGAAAAGCTAAGAATAAAACGCCTCATTAGATTGGTCTTACTCACTGGATAATATTTTTTTAAGAATTCTTGTTGCAATTGAGCCCATGTAGTGATGGAATTTGCAGCAAGGGAGTTCAACCAATATTTTGCCTTATCTTTTAAGGAGAATGGGAAGAGATGCAAATGGAGAGCATTGCAAGGGAAGCCCCTCAGCTTGATGGTAGAGCATATTTCAAGGAATTCATCAAGGTGCTTATACGGGTCCTCATTTTCAAAGCCATGAAAAGATGGAAGCATTTCGATGGTGCTATATTTGATTTTATATTGAGCGGCCTCAATATTTGGCATCATTATGCAAGAGGGAGAAGCATAAGTGGTAGGGATGAAATGGTCCCTAAGAGTCATGGGAACCACATTTGGAATTTCGGCCCTATCATTATTAATTCCCTCATTTCCGACATTTCCTACATTTTTAGCCATTGTGTTAAATTCAGTTTCAAGTTCTCTTATGCTAGTAGATTCCCTAAGGTTTCTTCTAAGAGTTCATTTAAGTGAATTTATGTTAACTTGCGAGTCAAGAGTTGGTAAGGAAAGTGACCTACGGCCAAACATCAACAACACATAGCACAATCAAGACAACAATTCATCACCAACAACTCCACATACGATGTTCCTTTTCTCCTCAATTATCAAGACAGAAATGTAAATGGCCACGACAAGGACCGATGCTTGCAATTGAAAAGAAAAATAAATAGCCTCGACAAGGGCTTCACAACTTAACTATATCTAAACCAAAAACATGTAAGATATTCACAACTTTGAAACTAGAGTTTCGAAAACTTACCTGAAGTCGTCTAGACTTATAAATTTGCTAGCTTTTCTCAGCAAGCCTTGAATATCTAAAATCTCACAAACACTTAAAATGTCACAATGATCAAAACAACACAAGAAAATATTCATGAAACATAATATTGACAATCAAACCAAAGGTAATCATAAAACCTCGGTTACAAAACCGTTTGCAGTCCTCAGCAACGGAGCCAAAAATTGATTGCCGGATCGATTACAATTATAAATCAACCCTTTTGCAATAGCACAAATCATTGTAAAATAGGGCTATTGGTCGGTAAGTCGAACCACTGGGACTGCTAGTTTATGGCAACTAAGGTATCTAGAATCACTTTTAGAATGATGAAAGGGGATATAGAAGTTTATTGGTTTGTCACTACAATTATGAAGTGAAAAATGCATAAAATAGTAATGCTAAGAAGTAGAGAGGCAAAGACAATTACAAAGGGACTAGGGAAGTGAATCCGCACTAAACCCTGAACACATGTTAGATCAAGACTACATTGGGAATAGACAATATATATATGATGGTCAAGAATTATACAGCAACACATGGTTGCCTTATAATCATCAAGAAGTTCATTAAATCAAAACAAGAATGATCCATCAAAAGTTTATACATTTGAACTACCTAAACTAGGGTGTAGCATCAAACATACTATCTCAAGCAAAAGATCATTAAGCCTTTAATCAAATGATGAAGCACATGAAGTTAGGAATCAAGTATAAACCATCAAAGGGAATACCTAAGCAATGGACTATCAAGTCTCTCTATCAACATGCCATAAAAACCATTCATAATCTTATTTCCATTGTCACCATGAAAGTGCAAGCATTATGATTAATATAAGAACCATCTAAGACAAGATAATTAACTTACATAAATCATTTATAAACATTAGAATTCATTACAAGAAGTAATATGCTCTAGATTATGAAAAGACCAAAAATTATATATTATTATCCGCAAAATAGAGCCTAATCTAGTACATGATTACAAGGGGAGGCTTCATCACCTCCCTAGATGGAGGTTTAGTTACCCATTACTGCAAGGAATGAAGAGGATGAAGAAGAAGAATTCTCCATTGATGCACCTTGAGCTCTAAGAACACCCAAAACCTCTCAACCCTTTTTCTCCCTCTAGAACTTTACAAAAATGAGATATATCCCCCAAAAAAAAGCCTCCCATCCTTTATCTACCCAAAATATACTCTCTATCCACTCCATCATGAGCTCCAACCACCCTAGAGCCATTAGAACCACAGAAAATGCATAGGAGACAAGAATCAGCTTGAATTCAGGAGCAGGTGACCTGCTGTCTGCATATCGGCGGGCACCCGCGGGCGCTTGCATCATCTAAGGTAGCCATTGGCAGGAACGGTGGGCGCTCGCGGGGGTGCGGCGGGCACCCGCAGGAGCTTGGCGGGGGTCCGCGAAACTAGACAGAAAGAAGGGCCATTTGGCGGGCGCCAACGGCGCCCGCGGGGGCTTTGGCCTCAACTCCTTCAGCCATCTTCTTAACACCTTTTGATGGTGCCGCAACACTATCACGAAGTGAATGTAAGGCCATCATTTTCATACTCACGATGGCTTCAAAAACTGGATGCAACCAACAGTCCCCATCAACGGCTCATCTTTGAGTCTACAAAAGTTTGCCAAAATCATTCTTTTGATCAAAATAAGGGGAGACCATCCTGAAAGAGACAAAAAATACACAAATGAAACTAAACTATACATTATGCTCCATTAATGGACTTAACTAATGCAAGTAAGGGCGCTTGAATATGTAATATTCGGCGCTTATCACCTATCCTACTACAATCCATACAGAAATCCGATGCGTAGATATATCTTAGATAGCTCAACAATATCTAGATTAGTCCATATATGTATATATTACACACCATAGGACGCTCACTAGTCCAATAGGTCTGTCTCAGCCTAAGTAGAGATACCATGCAAATCGCACATTACATGGTCATGTGTACCTAGACCTACCAGGGAATAACACCTATGTCCAGTTATCCATCCTAGGCGATATATGCACCCTAACTGTGGTCCTGAGACTAAAGCTCATACCATGGCACCATAACTTAAATATATAAAGTCCATATACTCCTAATACAAAATATCAACCATCGGGTATAGTGGTCTGATATATGTATAACAATCCATCCAAAAACAACAGTAGGTCATTCAATTATTTTATTGACATGACACAAGTATGAGATGGACTTAACCTTTATGGTTAATCCATACCTCATTCTAGATTAGGTAGGACTTAGTATTTGAACTAATCCCTCCCTAGTTTGCCACCGTCCCATACCGGTGCATACAATCTTCCAACAACATAATTGATTAAAATAACATTAAATAATTTATCAACAGTTCTCCGAAATAGGCATCAGTATAGTTTAATACATATATAATGACATTAGGCATTCACTACAGAACCTAAAAATCATGTTCCAACCATTTAAACTGCTAAAATAAATCATAGCGTTTAAATCCTCCAAAACAGCCTATAAATTGATACAATTACAACAATTTAAGTATCAATTAAATCCAAACTAAGTATAGTTAATTATAGTTAATTCACCATACTTATAACATTGTAAAAATATGATTATATATAATTAGATCATTTATAAAAACCTTGTCAAGTTCCAGTAAGTAAAACTAACAAAATAGTGTGTAACCTACCAGTTTTTCTCTTAGGTTTTTCTTGCTCTATTCTTCAGTCCAATTATGAATTTATGTCTCCTCATAATTTTACAGGTCTACAATAGTCCCATACAACATTTAATACAGTTTAAACAGAGAACAAATATGCTGAAACAGTCAAAACGCAGCCTAAAACCATTAAAACGCAAATTTGGAGCAAGAGCAGGCTCTCACAAGTTGAGAGCCTGCTCCTACACACTGGGTGCCGGTCCCTAACATTAGGAGCCTGCTTTTATGAGCTAGGAGCTGGCTCCCTCCTTGTGGGAGCCGGCTCTTGCCTTGAGGGAGCTGGCTCCCTCTTTTCTTGGAGCCTACTCTCTCTCCTGAAGAGCCGTCTGTCCGTTCCACTTCGCCTTCCTCACCTCCGGTGATTCCCAAGGCCTCTGTAATATTTTTAATACTTGATCTAGGGTCCAATCTTATTCCCAGATTAATCCTAAACCATTGGTATACAACCATGACATGAATTGAACCCAACGTTTGAAAACAACGGCAACAGGGTTTCAGTTAGAAATTCTTAAGCAACACAGCACAGATAATTCAATGAAATTAAATACTGTTTAAGTATGCATAATTGATGTGTTATAACATTCGTTTAATCCATTTTAACATTTATTCAATCCCTGGAGTCTACCTAGGCATGCATAGAACACAGATTTACGGGAAAGAGTAAAATAGAGACTTACCTTGAGTTTCAGTTTTGAAACTCTAATCCACCATCTCTGAATGTTCTATCAATGTCCTAGACTGTTGTTCTACACCTCCGGTGCTTTGGTTCAACCCAGAAGCAACCACGTTGCTTCCTCCTTGAACTGCTTTATTAATCACCCAAGTTCACTCTCTGTTTCTCTCTGTATCTCTTTGTGTTTTTCACTACGGGAAAAGAGGTTCTGTATTCTAAAACCCTAAGTCGACATATCATATAGTATTTATAGGCTTCAAAACAATAACCCTACTCCGTGTAAAATTAGAGGCAAAACCCTAATTCTAATCCTACACCAACCTTAAGTCGGCTACGTTGAATCATAAAACCCTACCTTAAGATAAAACAAATAACAGCTTAATGCAAACCAATTTAATAATTAACCATTAATCAAATAATACATCCAATAATATAATTTAATGAAATGATCCCAATTAAATAATCCAATCAGCTAATCACGTAATATAATTAATAAAACAGTTAAGGCAACTAATTAACTAACTACAATTGAACAGTTAAAACAACCCAAATAATAAAACAATTAAACAACCAATTTAATATGCAATTAATCACATAAAAATAAAATAAAACAATAAATAAAATGCCGAGACTATCCTTTTAAAATTAGGGGTATTACAACGAGAGACTCCAATGTAACAAACCAAAAACTAAAATGATCTTGATTTTCCAAAATGCATATTTCACTCCCTTTTCCAAAATCAAAATCACCATAACAGGTCCAATCTACACATTAAATTAAAAAATCACTTAGATTAGATATTGTTAAATATATTAATAATCTAAACATGAAAAGAATTATATACTTACCAAACGAAATCATGATTTGTGGGATGACTAAGGCAATATTATCTCCTTCATATATTCTTTTGTTCTCTAAAAAAGGCCAAAAAAAAAAAAAAAATCAATTCAATTTAAAGTCAAAATTAAAAGTATGCTGATATATAGAAGAAAATAAACAAGAGACTCCAATATACAAACCAAAAACTGAAATGATCTAACGATGTGATTTTCCAAAATGCATACTTCACTCCCTTTTTGAAAATCAAAATCACCATAACAGGTCCAACCTACACTTTAAATTAAAAAAATGCTTAGATTAGATATTGTTACGTATATTAATAATCTAAACATGAAAAAAATTATATACTTACCAAACCAAATCATGATTTGTGGGATGACTAAGGCAATATTATATCCTTTATATCTTCTTTTATTCTCTAAAAAGACAAAAAAAAAAAAAAGAAAAAAAAGAAGAAAAATCAATTCAATTTAAAGTCAAATTAATAGTCTGATACTATGATACATAGTCTGATCCAGAGAAGAAAATAAACAAGAGACTCCAATATCACAAACCAAAAATTGAAATGATCTAACATTGTGATTTTCCAAAATGCATATTTCACTCCCTTTTCCAAAATCAAAATCACCATAACATGTCCAACCTACACATTAAATTAAAAAAACACTTAGATTAGATATTGTTAAGTATATCAATAATCTAAACATGAAAAAAATTATATCCTTACCTAACGAAATCATGATTTGTGGGATGACTAAGGCAATATTATCTCATTCATATCTTCTTTTGTTCTCTAAAAAAGGCAATATATATATATATATATATAAATTCAATTTAAAGTCAAAATTAAAAGTCTGATACTGTGATAGATAGTCTGATACATAAAAGAAAATAAACAAGAGACTCCAATATTACAAACCAAAAACTGAAATGATCTAACAATGTGATTTTCCAAAATGCATATTTCACTCCCTTTTCCAAAATCAAAATCACCATAACAGGTCCAACCTACACATTGAATTAAAAAAACACATAGATTACGAATTAGGATATTGTTAAGTATATTAATAATCTAAACATGAAAAAAAATATATACTTACCAAACGAAATCATGATTTGTGGGTTGACTAAGGCAATATTATCTCCTTCATTTCTTCTTTTGTTCTCAAAAAAAGGCAAAAAGTCTTATATTCTGATACATATTCTGATACATAGAAGAAAATAAACAAGAGACTCCAATATCACAAACCAAAAACTGAAATGATCTAACAATGTGATTTTCCAAAATGCATAATTCACCCCCTTTTCCAAAATCAAAATCACCATAACACGTCCAACCTACACATTAAATTAAAAAAACACTTAGATTAGATATTGTTAAGTATATTAATAATCTAAACATGAAATAAATTATATACTTACCAAAAGAAATCATGATTTGTGGGATGACTAAGGCAATATTATCTCCTCCATATCTTATTTTGTTCTCTAAAAAAGGCAAAAAGTCTGATACTCTGATACATAGAAGAAAATAAATAAGAGCCTCCAATATCACAAACTAAAAACTAAAATGATCTAACAATGTGATTTTCCAAAATGCATATTTCACTCCCTTTTTCCAAAATCAAAATCACCATAACAGGTCCAACCTATACATTAAATTAAAAAAACACTTAGATTACGGATTAGGATATTGTAAGTATATTAATAATCTAAACATGAAAAAAATTATATACTTACTAGACGAAATCATGAATTGTGGGATGACTAAGGCAATATTATCTCCTTCATATCTTCTTTTGTTTTCTAAAAAAGGCAGAAAAAAAACAAAACAATTCAATTTAAAGTCAAATTTAAGATAATAGAAGTTCAGTCAAAAGGTTCATGAATACTTACACTTAATACTCCCTTCATTCCATGAATAGACCGTACCCAATCACCAGCACAAATCAAAGCTTCCATTGTTTTTGTAGATAATGATGCATGATATGGATCAATAGTTCTACCTCTAGTACTAAAAGCAGCCTCAGAGGCAATTGTAGTGATAAGAATTGACAAAATATCAACTGCTATTTTGGATAGAATGCAAAATTTGAGATTATTGACTTTCCACCATTCAATTACATCAAGACAGTAATCTGGCTCACCATGACAAATGAAAATACCCTCTTCTAAGTATATATCCAGTTCAGATTTTAAAGGCTGAACACTCTCACTTTTTCTAACAAAAAGATCAAATTCAAGCCTTCCTTTACTTTTGAACTTAGAAGTGTGATTTGCCTCACAATCAATAGTTGAAATTGTTTGATTCATTTCTTGCTTTAAGTTGCTAGAAGTATAAGTATCCACATACTCACTAAATAGATCATATGGTGCCTTACGCACGTAGTCAATATTTCTTGATGCATCTAACTCAGAATATATTTTGGGAAAACAAAACTTAATGAGCACCATTTTGTACCTTGGATCCAAAACTGCACCTATTGCCATCAAAAGATTACATTCACCCCAATTCTTGTCAAATTTATCTTTCATTTTGTTAGCCATTGATCGCATATAAACATTTTCATCCAATGATTTTTCACTCAATGCTTCTTTTATCTTCCATACTTCGGGAAGAAACATATTGGAAGTTGGGTACAGACTTCCAGATATGGTGTTTGTCACTTCTTCGAAAACCTTTAAAAATTGACACACCTCTTCTACTCTTCTCCAATCATTTAAACTAGGCAACCATTTATAACTCAGATCTCTATCTTGATATCTTGGAAATACCTCTTTAAATTTTATTGCTACTTGCAACATAGCATAAGTTGCATCTAAAATTAACTTCCTTGAAGGCAATTGCAACATTTTCATACCTTTGAATCTCACTAAATTTAAGTAAACATACCTTTGATGCATTTAAGTACTTAACACTTTCACGAACATTTTCAATCACATTTTGGATCTCACTAATCCCATCTTGCACTATGAGGTTTAAAATATACGTACAACAACGTACATGAAATATCTTTCCGCCAAAAGATAGTTTACTTTTAATACTGAAATTATCTCTCAAAATCCTAATTGCCGCATCATTATTACTTGCATTGTCAAAAGTAACTGTTGATACTTTATTTTCAATGCCCCAATCAATTAAACATTGAAAAATAGTATCAGCTATGACAATACCAGTATGAGGAGGTGGCACATCATAAAAATTTAAGACCCTTTTATGTAACTTCCATTCAGAATCAATAAAGTGTCTTGTAAGACACATATACCCAATTTGCTGACCAGATTTCTAGAAATCAGATGTGATACTGATCTTGTTAACACTTTTAAATGTTGTTTTCAACCCTTTTTTTTTTTTTTTTTTTTTTTTTTTTTTTTTTCATAAACTGCCACATAATCATTCTTTGCAGTTGTACGCGATATCTTTTGATAATGCGGGGTGGTAGTTTTCATGAACCGGTTGAAAATTCATGCTCCATCATGTTAAATGGATATTCATGTACTAATATCATGTGGGTAGCAGCTTCTCTAACCTTTTCATGATCATACTTGAAATTTGCAATATTTGTTTCACTTCCAACGACTCATTTTCCTACATTAAGAACATTTTGTTTTTTTACCAACGACATTACATCGTGGACACTTGTTTAAGTGCCTAATAAGATGAGTTGTAGGACCCCTGCCTTAGTAGCGAGCCTTGCCTTACATATCATGCATTATACCTTTTTAGTGCCATATTTATCTGTTACTATCTCAAATTCATTCCAGACATGAGATGTTTTCTTTCTTTTATTTGTTTGAAATGGATTTTCTTTGACATCAATGACTTCATTAACCACATCATCAATTGGTCTTTTGTCATCTTCGTTTTTACTATCCATTTCTATACTCTCTGAATCTGACATAGCTATATATGAAGAAAAAAGTAAAAATAAAGTAGAGTGAAAGCTAATTGATTGATGCAACAAGTGAAAACTTTCAGATACCATCATTGTAATTATAATAAATCAATGATTTCATGCTCCATCATTGTAATTATAATAAATCAATGCTAAACTTAATTTTAAAGCCTTTTAAGCATATAATATAATTGCTAGTTCAATCATTAAAGCACAAACTTGTGCCCAGTCTTCTATTGCAACCCAGCTACACCACTCAATGTACATGTCAAAAGCAAATCCACACCACTCAATGCACATGTCAAAAGCAAATCCAACATTTGCATTAATAGTTTTTTAATTTGGCAATGCGAGTAATTCTCATTTACTTTTCTTTCTCATTAGGCTTTTCTCTCTCTAACATCTCACTCAATTATTTGCATTAGACGCACATTCTCTCTCTCTCAGTATGCAAACCCTCAGTCTCTTATTACTCTTAGTCTGTCACTCTTTCACCATCTGCATCCTTTTCCGTCTAAATCATCTTGTGTGGTCAAATTAATAAAACGTTAATTTCAGGCAATTTTTTTTTATTTTTTATTTTTTATTTTATTTTGTGTGTTTTGTACCGAAAACATTTTGGGAAAAATTGATGGGGTGCGGAAATCCTAATTTTTTTTATAACTTTATATATATATATATATATATATATATAAAACCAAATTCTAAAAAAAATTCAAATTTTTTTATTTCTTTTCTTTTACTTTAACAAAAAGAATCAATCAGAAAAGAAAAAACGAATCAATCAGAAAAGAAAAGAAATAAAAAAATTTGAATTTTTTTTAGAATTTGGTTATATATATATATATATATATATATATATATATATATAATCATGTAAATGAAGGAAAGGATTCAAGATATGCTTATGAGAGTGCTAAGGTTTACAAAGCAAAGACTAAGGCATTTCATGACAAGCATATCTTTTGTAAGACTTTTGAGCCTGGGAAGAAGGTTTGGTTGTTTAATACATGATTGGAAAGGGCCATACATGGTTATTTCTGTAACACCTTATGGTACAATAGAGATACAAGATTGAAAGACTGGACAACTGTCCAAGGTAAATGGACAGAGACTTAAACCCTACATAGAGGGTAGTGTGCAGAGAGGCACAGTTGAGGCAGTGGAACTTCATGATCCCATTTACTCGGACTAGAGAGGTTAGGTTTTTGTCAAGCTATCGACATTAAACTTAGCATGCTGTCAAGATATCGACGTTAAACTTAGCATTTGTATGTTGTACCGTAGTTTATTTTGATTTTTATTTCGTTATTTTAAGTTTTTGATTTAGTTATTTTCTTTTCTGGATTTTAGGTTCATATGAATCTTCATTTAGGTTTAGGTTAGTTTGTGTTTGAATAAAATAGAAAAAGAAAATAAAAATTGAAAAAATCCAAAAATACAAAAATTTGTCACAATGCTCGAGCATGAAAGTTGAGGCTTGAGCATCAGCAGCAAAAAGCTTGAGCATCAATACCCACAGCTTGAGCTTTCCATCATCGTAAAGTTAGAAATTGATGGTGGCAGGATCGAGCTTACACCCTTGATGCTTTACCTTGAGGTTATAAAAGTTTTAAAAATTAGGAAACTGAATACTCCTTCACCTAGAACATAAAGGAAAGCCATGGTTCTTTATATAAGCTTTCTAAGTATTCTTTCTATTCATAATTGGTGCTAATCCACATTCTTGTTCCAGATCTGTAGGAAATAGAGGTAATCTTCTCTTTTCTTCTTCCTCTTTCCAATAGAATTTCCTGGGTTCATTAATTGTCTAGATTTGATGCGGGAGAGTATGAGTTATTCTTTGGATATATGAGTCTATGAATTTTGTTTCTGTATCATCTACATAGACTAGCTGTTTAGATCTACTCTTCCTTGATTTATTGAACTAAGTTCCATGATTTGATTCTGTGAAGTTTAGGTAGAGCTCGAGCATTGAAGTTGAGACTCAAGCATTAGCTATTACAGGCTTGAGCATTGGTACTTGAAGCTCGAGCTTTGGGTTGCAGAAAGCAGCAACTGGAGACTTTTCAAATTTGAAGGGTTATCTTGAAGATGGTTCGTCCTACTTCTGCTAAATGCGCTAGAGGGATGAAAGATATATTGCCAAGTGCATGGCAGACAGTTCCAATTTCTTATGAAATGACCTTTGATTAGGCGTTCATCAATGATCCGCACACTAGATGGGCTATGAAATCTTTTAGTTACAGGCATCTTCTTCATCTCATGGTCCCTATTACTTAGGTTGCGTATCCTTGACTTATTTGTTTGTTTTACCTCAATCTGGTTTATAGTGAGGATGATCCTTGGGAGTTTAGGACTAGAATTGATGGGCATGATTTGATTATTAATCCTGATGCTATTGCTGCAGCTTTAGAATGTTATAATCTGCTTTCTGAGGTTGTAGATGAAAGACGTAGCTGTCCTGTTTTTACACCATTCTCTAGGGTACCAATTGCTGAGAATTTAATTTAGAAGCTATGCGATAGTCGATTTGCTAGGAGAAAGCGTAGTAGAACTACTAAAGCCAAAATTCCTAAGAGGTTGTGGATTCTAGATTCTATCATCTCCGCTAATGTCCATCCTCTTGGACATAAGAATATTAGGAATATTGTCTTTCTCCAGGCCTTTTATGCTATTCAGTTTGAGCACTGGTATTCGTTCCTTAGGATGATTTTCTATCAGCTATTAGAGTTTTGGTCTGAGATTGGACCGCATAAGGATATTCCTACAAATGCGTTGCCTTTTTCATATATGATTACCAGGATATTAAAGCTGCAGGGTTTTGTGGTGAGTCAAAAAAGAGGAATCATGTGATGAATCTCCACAATTTGGACTGAGGGAATGGAATAAATTTTGGTCACATATGCCGACACATCGCCGAGATGCAATAGAGTTTGGTGATGAGGGATGTATAGTAGTTGTTGATAGGAGAGCTGATGATGAGGCTACAGAGGAGGGATGGATCTTTCTTATAGTAGGCCCCAGGTTAGGAGGAAACCCGCTTTTGCAGCTCAGCCTGAGAGTTCTTCTCAGGCTGAGATTAGAGCTTTATAGGCCAGAGTGGCCGAGCTGCAGGATAGTTAGACCGTGCTGCGTTAGATGTTGACTACACAGTAGAGCATATGGGAGGAGCTATTGTGCCGCATTCTGTCCGATCCATCCACTTCTTCCGTTCCACCGCCACCACCTATGGATTAGTTTTAGGACTTTTCTATATTTTTGTTGACTAGGGCAGTCTTTTTACTGTATTTATTTCCATATGATGTATTTCTGCCCTAAGTCTTTCTTTCAAAAGTATTGTATTGATTTCTGATATTTATACATGTTTTTTGGTTATATTATCCTTGTGTTGATATTTCTACCTCTGCTTACTCCATATATACTTGATACTCTGATGTGTGTTGGAGTTTATTGATTTTGCCAGATACAACAGATTAAGTTTAGGGGCGATTTGACTGATAACAACCTTGGGTGGTTTTGAAGAACCACTATATTGAAGGAGGAGATGCTGGAAATTCTTTTTACCCGTTTTTGCATTATTATATTCTATCTTTGCTAATCTGCTTGTATGATAATATCTCTCTAATTCTCTTTTGTTCTCCCACATTGAGGACAATGTGCACAATAAGTTTGGGGGTAAGGTTTGGAAGGAAAATTAACTTTTTAATTGGAAAATTTTTAATTTTTAATCTGCCTACACAAGGATATGTTCTGTTGATTGATGATATAAGCCTGTGCTTGGGTTTGTTGATGGTTATATACTCTGTTTGCAGTCTAATGTTGGTTAGAGATAGTTTGTATACTAAAATAAAGTGAAAATGATTCCTTGAAATTTTTTGAAATTGGTTGATGGCCTGTGGTCCACATTGTTAGAATGATTATTGTTTAATGATTTTGATCTCTGAGATGCTACACTTTGCACAATATTCACACTTGCATTATGGGGTAGAAAATAGAAGTCTTGTTAAGTTTTGAGTTAGACTGAGATGATCAGGTAAATTTGATAGTTTTGATGACTGATGCATAAAAGAAAAAATATAGAGAAATATTGGTATGTATGCAATAAAGAAAAAAAAAATCCTTCACCAATGTGAATGAAAAATGAAAAAAAAAACATGATGAAAAAAAAAAAGGAAAGAAAAATAGACAATGATCAAGTTCATGTTTGTACTTAGATTGCTTGAGTGATTAAGTCTGGTGTGTTTTGACACCTAATACCCTAAGATCGTCTGGTCCGGGAGTCATTGACTGAAAGCTTGTTACATAAGGGGTTTAGGTTGCTTAGATTACTTGAACAATTAAGTCTTTAGGGGTGCTTTAACACTTAATGCCCTAAGACCATTTGGTCTGGGAGTCATTGGCTGAAAGTTCGCTACAAGGGTAATTTAGAGAGCTTAATAAACCTGAACATTGCACATATCCTTGTTGAAAAAAATGCATACCCGGAAAAAAATAATAAGGGAGTTGAAATTTGAAAAGTCTGCTTGTGAATTGAGGAATGGCAAGTAATGAAGGCAAGTATGGACAGTAAGCCACACGATGAATTGTAGAGTCACTTTCAAAAAGTATCTTTGGAGATTAAGATTGTTGAATAAATGATTAAACTGATATGTGGGGACTATGGTTGCTTAATCGAAATTGAAAGTTGAAAGTGGTTCTGATTACATGATTGGTATACTTGCTGTATTTAACTGATTAATGAACTGCAGGGATGATATGACTTAAAAATAGGGTTGAATCATTTAAGGCACTGATTTGAGAAGTTTGTGGGTATCTTCACTGGAAACCTTACGAGACTACAACTCGTCCACTAGGGGTAAGTTAGGGGTTTAAAGGCTTGTTGCATAGGCTAAATGCAACCGTGATTCCCACAAAAGCGACTTTTTAGCTCTGTATTGCTAAGGGACTAGCAATATGTAAGTTTGGGGGTGTGATAAGTGTTGAATATATGCATATTCGAGCCTCTAAGTACGTATATGTTAGGACCTAAAGTGATACTTCTATCCATAATTAGACTAATTTATGTTTAATGTGTGTTTGTAGGTACTTTCCCAGATAGATGGTTAAAACCGGGACTTTATGATGATATCGAAGCTTATAGAGTCATTGCCGGTTATTCAGAGCAAGCCGAGAGCTGAATTGGTGAAGTTTGAGGTAATTCAAGCCTTAAAGCTCGAGCCCAAGTGCTGAGGCTCAAGCATCACAACAAAGAAGAGAAGAAAAGTAAACAAGGCCCAAATGCTCGAGCCTTACTTCAAGGTGCTCGAGCTTTAACCAAGGGTGCTCGAGCCTTGACCTTGAAGCTCGAGCATGAGGCGTCGGAAATAAAAAGAGTTGATTTAATGAAAAGGTTATGCTCCCAGGTCTCGTGCCTCACCTCCAAGATCGAGCACCATCCACAAAGGATTGAGCATCGTCTACTGATGCTCGAGTATTAAGCCCCAGATACTCGAGCCTGGTACCTAGTGCTCGAGCCTATAAAGCTTGGATCGAGCAATGTTAAAGGAGTTCAACCCCAAAAATATTCTAAGTGTTGAAGAAAAAGACACTTTGGAAAATAGTTGAAGAAAATTGGCTAAGTGTCAATGTGATGATCGAGCACCATTTACTGAAGCTCGAGCATTTATCCAGAGAAGCTCGAGCATGAACCCTAAAGCTCGAGCATCTGTTCCTGAAGCTCAAGCCTTCCATGACATGTCAGATTAAAAGCTGTGG